TCCCTGGTTCCTCTTTTTTAAAAATCTAAGTCACTATTCCAGAGGCTCTGTGTCCTTTAGGGCAGGGGTCCTTAACCCCCGGGCCACGGTACCTGGTAATGGTCCATGGCCTGTTAGGAAGAGGACCGCACAGCAGGAGGTGAGTGGCAGGTGGGCAATTGAAGATTCATCTGTATTTACAGTCACTTCTGTTACTCCTATTACCACCTGAGCTCTGCCTCCTGTCAAATCAGCGGTGGCATTATGTTCTCACAGGAGTTCAAACCCTACTTTGAACTGCGCATGCGAGGGATCTAGGTTCACACTTCTTTTGAGAGTCTAATGCCTAATGGTCTGAAGTTGAGCTGAGGCGACGACACTAGCACAGGGGAGCGGCGGCAAATGCAGATTGTCATTAGCAGAGAGGTGTGACTGCACAGAGACCATAACAAATCAATTGCCTGCAGACTCATAGCAAAACCCTGCCGGTGAGGGCAAGTGACAACGAAGCTGCATCGGGTGGCAGGCTTTATAGTGGCAAGTGAGTTGATGCACTTCAATTGGACAGCTGCATCTGGTGGCAGGCTTTAGGCCAGAATCCAACACTTATTTCAGTCCGCACGTGGCCTGCCCATTATTTTATTTACCATTCCATCCACGCCTCTTTCCCGTACTGCACACTTGTCTCAGTCACAGTTTTGGTAAGCCCACAGGCTAACCCTGGCTGAAATGAGTGAAAAACAAACATCACTGAAGAGCTTCTTTGAAAAGCGGGACAGACCCAATGATGAGACAGCAGAAGCCTCTAAGACTGCCAACAGAAAGAAAGCTGCATTTAAAAGAAAATACCAAGAGTCCTACTTAAATGAACAAGTTCATTGCAACAGGTGATTCACATTCTCCAATCCTGGTCTGTATACTATGCAGTGACTGCTGTCCAGTGAAGCCATGAAACCTTCAAACCTGTTTCGCCGCATGGAGACTGAGCACCCTGCAGTAAAAGACAATGCTTTGGAGTTTTCCATTTTGTTTTTTTTGAAGTTTTTCAAAAGAAAATATGTGAACACAAAGAACAGGAGCAATTATTGAAGGCCACTGCTTCATCAAATGTGTCTGCACTGACAGATTCGTGGCTATAACTGCATGGCTAAAGCTAAGAAGCCCTTTACTATTGGTGAAGAGTTGATCCCGCCTGCTGCTAAGGACATTGGTCATGAACTTTTAGGAGACGCGGCAGGTCAGAAGGTAGCACATGTTCCTCTTTCACCTAGCACCATAACTAGACAAACTGATGGAATAGCAGAGGATATTGAAGCACAACTGTTAGAGAGGATTAATGAGTTGCCATCATACGCAATCCAGGTTGACGAGTCTACCAGTCTTGACAGCAAGGCAGCAATGCTTGTTTTCGTGTGATGTACTTTTCAGGAGGATGTGCATGAAGATACGTTATGCGCACTTTTGTTGTCAGCCAACACCACAGCTGCAGAGCTATTCAAGTGTTTGAATAATCACATATCAGGAAAACTGAATTGGTCATTTTGTGTCTGTATGTGCATGGATTCAGAGCAGCTGCCATGACTGGCACTCTGGTTTCACTACTTTGGTCAAAGAGGTCACTTCTGCATGTGAGTCCACAAACTATGTCATCCATAGAGAAATGTTGGCCAGCTGAAAATGTCACCTGAACTTAAAAATGTTCTGCAGGAGGTGATTAAAATTATCAACCACATTAAAGTACACGCCCTTAACTCACGTCTGTTTGTGCAGCTCTGTGAGGAGATTCACGCAGAGCACACGTGTCCTCTCTTACACACAGAGGTGAGGTGGTTTTCTGAAGGGAGATCACTGGCCAGAGTTTTTGAGTTATGAAAGCTGCTCCTGAGATTTATTTTAGAAAAACAGTTACCACTGGCAGCACATTTCAGTGACACAGAATGGGTTGCAGAACTTCCCTACTTGTGTGACCTATTCAACCTGCTCAACAAACTCAATCTGTCATTTCAGAGGAGAATGACAACTGTGCCCAAGTCGGCAGATAAAGTGGCTGCATTCAAAGCCAAAATGGAATTATGGGGGTGACGAGTGAATGTTGGGATTTTTAACATTTCAAACATTAGCAGCGATTTTGAGAGACTGAGGGAAGGCCTTTCTCCCAGCTGGGTCATGATCACCTATCTCAGCTTTCAAGAGTTTGAACATTACTTCCCAACCACAAAAGACCCTGAACTGAGAAGGAATGGATCCGTGGCCCATTTGTGAGTAAGTGTGGTGAATGGACTCTGTCCATGCTAGAGGACAAAGAAGATCAACTGCTTGAGGTCACAAATGATGGTGGCCTTAAGAGTATATTTGAGACAACTTCAAATCTCCAGACATTCTAGATTAAGGTCAAGGTGGGATATCCTGCAATCACCACAAAAGCACTGTAAAGCCTGCATTTATTTCCAACCTCCTGTCTTTGTGAAGCAGGGTTTTCTGCAGTGACAGCAACCAAAAGGAGGTTACGGAGCAGACTGGACATAAGCAACACTCTTTGAGGGTCACTGTCTCCCATCACCCCCAGATGGGACCATCTAGTTGCAGGAAAACATGCTCAGGGCTTCCACGGATTCTGCACTGTGGTGAGTTGTATAATTATTTCATCATATAGTACAATGTAGTAGTAAATAGCAATGAAGTGCACAATAAATATAATGCTCTTGAATCATCCTGAAACCATTCCCCTTGCCCCTAGCCCCTCAGGCTGTGGAAAAACTGTTTTCCATGAGACTGGTCCCTGGAGTGAGAATGGTTGTGGACCACTGCTTTAGAGTTCTTGTCTCCAAGCAACAGATGCTGATTCTGACTTAAGAAGAAAGGGATGCACTGAACACATATTAGGTAGCTCACAGAATTGTGGGAATGCTAGGGGTCCTAGGTGAAAGCAGGTTACATACCAGGGGTCCCAGAACTTGTTTGGGAAGGCCATTGTTGCAGCCGAGGAAAAACAGACTCCGTAGCTGCCCGCCCCCCGCCCAGCACTGCATGCAGGATGGTACCCTGGCCCCATTGCCTTTGGATATTGCGTGGGGCAGCAGCGTGCATTCACCTCTCTTCCATTGCTTTGGATCAAATTCTCGGGCTGGCGCATATGATTGGGCAAACCTAGGTCTGCCAAAGAAATGGCTTTTTTTTTTGCACCTAGAGGGGGAAGACCTTTTTGTCACTAAGACTCAAATGGTGAGGAATTATCTAGACACAGGAAGATGGTTCAGAGAGTGAGCAGCCAAACGAGTTGGATTTGGCCTCTATAGGTAGGAAGCATCTGGTGCTCTGTGCACATGTGAGTCACAGCTTAACTTTACCCAACGGAGAAAAATACTCCAAGTGGTTTGTTGGCTTCCCTTTCCTTCTGTCATTAAAATGTAATTTTTAAAAATACACTCGGATGACTCCTTTAAGCAAATTCTTTTAGTGAGGTAAAAATTCTGATATCAAAATCTTACAGTATTTTTTTCTTTTTCAAGTTTGTATTGTCTTATTTGAAATATAACTATGGAGCAAGTCTTTTCGTAGTAAGCTTAACTACAGCTTATCTTCAAGAGTCTAATCAGATTCTTATTCTGAGCCAATTTACAGTTTTGCAATTTGCAAAGGTGTTTTTTTCTGTTGCATTTCTTTCTTTCTTTAAACTGGCACTGTTAACTTTTCTTTTAAAAGGCATGTAGCTTGTATTACTACAAGGTAGAAAAACAGACAAAAAAAATAAAGCAGAACAATAATGAAGTACAGGAGGAAATACTTATTTTTGTACCAAATCCAAAGTTAACAAGAATTTTTGTTAGTAAAAATATTAGTTTATTCAGACTGTATTATTTCTCAGGTAAATAGGAGAATCAAATTTCTAATCTGTTAATAATCAGCCTGTATTTGTTTACTAGTTAGAAGGTTCACTCTTTTTATTATGTGAAGTCTCAAAATTATAGTCTGCCTCTGTGGTGTCCTATTTACGTGACAGCTTCTTAGTGAGTGATGGCGTTTGAGCTGTCACTGCTGTTTCACGTTGAATGCACCCTCTCACCATTTCCTGTGGCTTTATGGTGAAATATCTTATTTTTACTTAATGATTTTGTATCCCATTTTTGTCCCCTCCCAAACCCTTATGAGACAGATGAAAGAGACTCAGTGTAAGAATTAGGTGCTTTCCTATCATTAGACAACCGTCCATTACAAAACAGATTGGATTCCAGACCAACCAATTTTCCTGGACAGGGAAGATGTTTCAGGTAAGAGAGCACTGATGTTTCAGGTAAGATATCAATGAAAGAGAGCACTGGTGGTGGGAGGGGGAAGGTAATTTGTATAATTTCTCTTCAAGTGTTAGAAATTCATGGCTCAGGGTGCTGCCTTGCTAAAGCCTGTTCTTATCTCTTCCTAGGACAGGCAACCATCTATGAGCTCCCGGAGCTAGAGGATACAGACCAGAGCCGGTGTGGGAGGAAAGAGGGGGCCGGCCAGATGGTGGAGGCACAGAGGGGAGGGTGGGGGAGGGGGAGGGTGGGGTACTTATGAGCTCGTCTTGCCTCACCAAGAGCCAGTGGCAGCAGATGGCGGCTCCCTTGATAACGCCCTTTTTCTGTCTGGCAGGCAGTAGTGGTTGATCCTGTGGTCATGCAGAAAGCATGTACTTTTTTGCTCTTTTCAAAAAGTGGAAGTGGTGGAAGGGCACATGAAAGGAAAATCTAGATTTCAATAGTATATGTATCTAAAAAATAGCTCTTCTTTCCTTTTATCTTTTGCAAAAACTAGATGTCCATTCATAGGTTGATGATGCCAGCTGAAAGTGATTTGTGCTTTCTGTTGCCAAAACCAAACCAAACTCATCAAATTGTGTCTGGTTATCTAAGAAATAATTGATAAGATGATGAAACTGGCTATGAAGTCTAAACTCAACAGCTGTATCATCTTGTATTTGGCGAGAAGTTGGCTTACCGATCACTTTAGAAAGACTTAGCAGAACACGCGTCAGAGCTACTCACTTTGGCCTTTCCTTGCACGGTGTCAGTTTCTGTGGGGTGGGGACTGTGCCGTGATCATTTCACAACTTCTCCTGAGCTGGCCACGATGGTATTCACTGCGAGTCTGTTACATGGAATCAAAGTGTCCTGAGTTAATCACTGCATGTTCTACTCAACATATGCATAATTATTATAACTTCACACCAAGGTAAACATTAGTGAGCATGACAAAGTAAAACTGTTAACATTTTGAAAATGCAATACTGTAACAGGCCCTGATTTCACTGCCATAATGCTTTATATGTTAATTTAAGTAGTAGCTTTCAAAATTGGGAAGATTCTAATATCTGGTTTTGTAGAAGAATGGAAAATAATAGATATTTACTGAGCACGATGTACCAGATGTGCTTCATATATATTAACGTATTCAACGTCCCTATAAGGCAGTTCCTTCTCTGTTTTTTCACAGAGGAGGAAATGAAGGTTCACAGATGTTAAGTACATTGCTGGAGGTCACACAGTGAGTGACTAAGCAGGATTCACACTTGGGTGTGCCTGATTATAAAGCCTGCACCGTCCTGCCTTTATTCTACTTGAACCCCAATATATTCATTGGTCCCCCAAATACTGTTTTATTTGTCTAACGACTGGTCAAATCAACCCACTCCATCTCTAAAGCATTCTCCACATTCTTTCTTGCCCCCAGCCCCAATGGGGGAAAAAGATCCGGCACCCAGGTCTTCAACGGCTTCACTCTCCTACAATCAAATCATTTCTGGAGCTTTCAGAGACAAATGGGAAGTAAAATAGACACTTCCCATTTGGTCTTGCTAGAGATCCAGAACAGAGCATTAATTCTGAGCCTGAACTGCAATTCTCTAAGTCCTCTTCTACCAAATGTCCAACCTTCACATTTGCCTTGTACTCACTAAAATGTGACACAGGTATCTTATTCTTGTTTGATATCTATTCTATTGTCTGGACATCTTTTAGATCTAACATGCCCAATGTTAACAAGGTTCCACTGGGGGCAGGTGCAACATTTAAGGTTCTGCTTCTTGTTTCTTAGCATACCACACTGAATTCTTTAAATATGTATTTTTCATCAAGTAAATGCTTTTCTCCAATTTTCTCATCAACAATCATGACCAAGTTTGCTGGAACCATTTGAGATGACACAGTAAACCCGAGGCTGAAGTAGACTGTTGGTATTTAAGGAGAGTAAGTCTCACATTACTGTTGCTATTCACTATATTTGGTACTATTTTGTTAGTAGGAGATATTCACTAAAAGAAACATTAGTGATCAGACTCTATTTTCAGACAAGAGTAATAGAAAATAAGACGTGTTCCAAAAGGAATTCTTACAAACTTTTTAAGTAATTGTTTTGAGAAGTTTTAAGAGTATCTTTTGACTCATGTCTACCGGAGTTCTTTGCTCAAAGGAAGTATAGAGAAGTATCTGTTTGGTAGGGCAGACTCATTATGAGCATGAAGAGACTGGTGAAAGGTCAGGGTACTCAGACCAGACATTGCTATACATTGCTCTACTCTCATACGCGTGCTATGGACAGAAAAGTGACAGGATTTCATAAGCTACAGTGTCCCCCAAGGAAATTCTGCTGTCTGCTAGAGTCTATGAGTTGGTTTCAAATGACTGCTACAGAGGACAATGCTATGGGGGTTCTGAGGAGGAATGACATCTTTTTAAAAAAAATATTTTATTGATTATGCCATTACAGTTGTTCTATTTCCCCCCTTTATTCCCCTCCACCCTGCACACCCCCTCCCCCACCATTCCCCCCTTTAGTTTATGACCACATGTCTCAAGTTCTTTAGATTCTGTATTTTCCCTACTATTCTTGCCCTCCCCCATCTATTTTCTATCTACCATCTATGCTACTTATTTTCTGTACCTTCTCCCCCCTTCTCCTTCTCCCACTCCCCTGTTGCTAACCCTCCATGTGATCTTCATTTCTCTGGTTCTGCTCCTGATCTAGCTGTCCTCTTAGTTTGCTTTTCTTTTAGGTGTGGTTCTTAATAACTGTGAGTTTGCTGTCCTTTCACTGTTCATCTTTTTTATCTTCTTTTTCTTAGATAAGTCCCTTTAACATTCCATAGAATAAGGGCTTGGTGATGATGAACTCCTTGAATTTGATCTTATGTGAGAAGCACTTTATCTGTTCTTCCATTCTAAATGAAAGCTTTGCTGGATAGATCAATCTTGGATGTAGGTCTTTGGATTTCATGACTTGGAATACTTCTTTCCAGCCCCTTCTTGTCTGTAAGGTGTCTTTTGAGAAATCCGCTGACAGTCTGATGGGAACTCCTTTGTAGGTGACTGTCCCCTTCTCTCTTGCTGCTTCTAGGATTCTCTCCCTTCATTTTAATCTTGACTAATGTAATTATGATGTGCCTTGGTGTGTTCCTTCTTGGGTCCAACTTCTTTGGGACTCTCTGAGCTTCCTGGATTTCCTGGAAGTCTATTGCCTTTGCCAGATTGGGGAAGTTCTCCTTAATTATTTGTTCAAATAAGTTTTCCATTGGTGGCTGTTCCTCTTCCCCTTCTGGTACCCCTATAATTTGGATGTTGGAACGTTTAAAGATTTCCTGGAGGTTTCTAAGCCTCTCCTCCTTTTTTTTGAATTCTTGTTTCTTCATCCTTTTCTGTTTGGTCATTTTTTTCCTCCTTCTGTTCCACTTCTTTGATTTGAGTCCCAGTTTCCTTTCCATTACTATTGGTTTCCTGTGCATTTTCCTTCATTTCAATTAGTTTAGCCTTCATATGTTCCTCTAATTTGTGACTAAAATCAACCAGTTCTGTGAGCATCCTGATCACCAGTGTTTTGAACTGTGCATCTGAAAGTTTGGCTATTTCTTCATCGCTTAGATTTATCGGCTCTGGGGCTCTTGAGTTGTTCTTGAGCCATGTTTTGATCTGTTCATGCCTGTCAGGTATGAGGAGCAGAGCCTTAGATGTTCACCAGGGCGGGGCCACCCAGGTTGCTAGCTTGTGACATTGTATGTGGGGGTGGGTCAAAGAGGGGCCACCCCAGGTTGCTGGTTTGTGATGCTGTATGTGGGGGCGGGGTCAGAGAGGGACAATAGCGGTTCCCTCTCATGCTTCCTGCCACTGGGGCCTGCACGGTCCATCTCACTGCTCGCTCCTTCACTGGTTTATCTGCGTGAGAATGTGTGACCGTGGTCAGCCCTCAGTGGGTCCATCGCCTTGCGCCCTCAGTGGGTTTGTCCACTGCTACTCCACACCTGGGATCCACCCACGGCTGCTGGCGCACCTGGGTTGCGCACCCAGGTCGGTCTGGTGGATCCTTCCTGCCTGACCCCACTCTGCTGCTGGCTCTGCCCCTCTTACTGGTTTGGCTGAAGGGTTCGTTGTTGTCAGACTTCCATATAGTTCAATTTTCTGTCATTTGGCTGCGTTTTTGTTGCTAAAACTTTGTTATTTTTAAACTTGGTTGTGCAAGAAGGTATAGTGCTTCCACCTATGCCTCCATTTTGGTGGAAGTCCGGAATGACATCTTAATTATTGGGGATTGAAGCAGAGTTCTAGCATTCATTGCACTTTAAAAAAATGCTGGGCCCTAGTTGTTGTGGTTCAGCAGTCTGGGTGCTGGCCTGCGAACTGAAAGATCACACGTTTTATTCCGTGTCAGGGCACATGTGTAGGTTGTGGGCCAGGTCCCCAGATGGGGGCGTGCGAGAGGCAACCACACACTGATGTTTCCCTCACACATCAGTGTTGCTCTCCCTTTCTCCCTTCCCCTCTCTCTGAAAATAAGTAAATGAAATCTTTAAAAAAATGCTGGACTCACCCCTGTGACTTCCCTTTTCCCTATGACAATTGAGAAACTGTCCATCCCTCACTTTGAGATAAACTCAACTTAAATCCCTTAAAGGAAGTACATAGTAAATGAAAAAAACTGAGAAGTTAAGGTCAGGGAAATGAAACCAATTTCTTTTAAATGGCAACAAGTTTCTGAAAACCTTGTGCAGAAGTTGACTCAAGTTACCACAGGATGAGTTTTCCAAACAAATGTCACAGTGAATGACAGAATTTTTCAGCAGTCATGGCTGCCACGGTGGGCTATTTGACCTAGATACTTCAGGTATGTAATGGAAGGTAGGCTGTGTGCCCACCTCGGCAGCACGTATACTAGAACTGGAATGATACAGATTAGATTAGCATGGCCCCTGAGCAAAGAATATAGGCCAGTATGGGTCTGGCTGTAACCCAAGAGCCCCAGTGAGACTAAGGGCAGAAGCTTTGTGCTTTACGTCCTCTGCATTCTCTGCAGCAGTGCCTCATAACTTTACAATCCCCTGACCTCCTCTGATAAACATAAAAGTCTCCTCTGCCCGCAAAATCTGAGATAGCCCCTCAGGAACAGCTTTCTGTCTCCCCCTCCTCACCACCACCACCCAGTTGAAAAATCACAGCTTTTACAAAGCCAAGAAAATTTAGTCAAAATATTATGTTTTTATTTTATTGATTTGTAGAGAGAGAGGAAGGGAGAGAGAGAGAAAGCAATATTGTTGTTCCACTTATTTATGCATTTATTGGTTGACTCCTGTATGTGCCCTGACCAGAGATTGAATCTGCAAACTTGGTGTATTGGGATGGCGCTCTGAATTACCGCGCCAGGGCTTGATGCTAATTTTTTTTTAATCCAAATCACTTACTGAAATTAATCTTCCCCTACTTGGATATCTAATCCAAGTCCTTCTTTTCCATAATATCCTCATGTCATCCTGGCCTGAAGGGGTCTCTTCATTCTGTTTGGACACTTTTCATCAATGTCACTCCTTTGGGCCTTTGTCATTAATGGCATGGTTGCATCACCTATTTATTCACATGTCTACATTTCACTTCTATGTGTACGTTTATTGCTGGAACAAATTACATTTCATGTTGTAAAAATGTACTTCATAGCACACAGTGCGGTGTCTCGCACATGGGAGTTACTCAGTAAAATTTCCTGCTTAATCAGTTGTCTATGTTTGTGTTATTTAGGCAAGGCACACCTGTTACTGTATGACTCAGCTTAAGCCAGTTTCCTTGTTTCCATGATAATTTCCTCAATTCTTCATTTTTCTTGGAAACCAT